GGCCACACCCCTGTTCCACGCCCCGCCCATCCGGAGCCGCGGAGTCGCGCGCCTATGGTCACCTCGACCGCCCAGCTTCGGGGACCCACGGTCCCTGGCCAGGCCCCACCCTGTTCTCCCTCTTGAGAGCTTCGCCCTCGGATTCGGCCCTGGCGGTGTCCCCAAGGCATGTTGTGTATCCCCCTTCTCAGTCCTCATTTTCAGGGGCAATCGCTCCCCCTACATCGCTTTGGGTGCTGGGTCCTGCGTCTAGCGTGTGGAGGTAGCACGGGAAGGAGCGGCTGTGCCTTCCCCAGGGGCGCGCTCCGAGGACTCTGATCCGTGTGAGAGCACTGCTGTCCTTTCCCTGGCAGTTCGTTTCCTGCCGCGCCCATCGCGCCTCGGGTGTGCGTGCACCTGGCTTTCCCACTCCTCTCCCTCACACCCCCAGGTGTGTGCCCACTCCTCCCCATGGAGCCTTGATGTGTGCCCACCCTCCCCATGGAGCCCAGGCCATGCTGGCTGGGGCGTGCACCCTTCACTCAGGTGCACTGGCCATTCGGTCTTGGAAGGCCTGAGGCTGTGTTCGCCACATAATGGAAAGAGAGCCTCAGGGAGCACTTCCTCTGTACTGTCGGGCTCTGTTTTTTTGACGGATGGAAGATGGTCCATAGAGCTGAATGCTTTGCTGGAGACACCACCTTCCCTTCACAGACAGAGGCTGAAGTAGGATGGAACCTTTCTGAAAGGCTTGGTTAGCACCTCTGTGGATGTCTGCACTTTACCTGCTGTGGTCAAACTCCAGGAGCCTCCTCTCTTCAGATGCAGTCAAGAGGCTTTTGCTTTTTCACATTTTGACTCCAGCTGAGCCTTTTGTACTACTCTTTCCAGCCCAGGTCAATTGAATAAATGTAAATCCTAGGCCAAGGACAGTGTCCTTTCTTTATGTGTTTTTAGATGATTTCCTTTTAATGAAGTCTGAATATGAGAAAAATACATGTAATGATAATTTTCACAAAGGTGCTTAAACTTAACTTTGCCTGTGGTCAACTCCATGGTCCATTTTGACTGAACAGACTTGCTTCATTCCAGAATACCTATGATTGCCACCTCGGCTGCTCTTGCTGAGGGTCCCCCAGTGTTGTTGAGCCATGGCTCTGCACTGTTGGGAGCAGCTCTCTTCTGGAACTTTGAGGAAGGGCAAGAAGTGGAGCCCCAAGGCCCAGTGGCAGTGGAAATCAGGCAGTGAAGCAGATTCTGCCTACCCTGAATAACTGAGACAGAGGATTGACCAAAGCGAATTGAGTTGTCTTTAGGGCTTCATTTTTATCTCCTGCATTCACTTGCTCATTAGAAATTCACCAGGAGTCTGGGACAGACTGGCTGTTTCTGGTGTTCCTCTGTTGGAAGACAGAGCTACTGTGGACCTGTCCTGCTCTGCCCCAGCCTCTGCCCAGCTGTGACCCACTGCCTTGTGTTATATCTGGGCCCAGCTTCTGTTTGTTTGAGCATACCCATGTTCTCATGCTCTGGAGAGTGAGGAGAGGTCTTCCAGAGGGGGGTGCCCAGTGCCATCCTATCCTTGAGCCATTCATGTGCCCCTCCCAGGGCCCTTTTCATGGTGCTGGTGTCCATATTCTATCATGCCACTCAGGCAGCCCTCAAGCTGCTGACCTTCCAGGAGTGGACAAGGATGCCTGATCGCTGATCCAGGACTGGATTGGGCAGGTGTGTGCCACCCCAGGATGCACACCTTCACACTAATGGCTGCAGCCTTTTGCTGACAGGACCCCTCAGGCCACACCAGCTGCCTGGACAGAGCTGCACACCTCCCCAGGGTTTCTAGGTACTAGCATGTGTACAAATCCCAAGCTCAGCCATAGATGAACCTCCTTGGAACCCACTCTCTTTCCTTAGGCATCATTGGGACAGGTGTCCAGGGAGAGGGATTAGGGCTAGGAAGGAAGGAGAAGCAGTTAGAAAAGGAGCTGGGAGCATGTGTGTTGATCTGGGCCCAGATGCCTAGGCCCAGCTCCTAGTGGCATCAGCTCCAGGCACCTGTGCCGTAAGTAGCAGATGTGTGGGGTGAGAAGGCATGAAGGATGTTGTAGACCACCGTCCAGGCTTCATTTCCGGGTTGACCAGAAGGGGCACCTCATTGTTTCGCAAATCAATGGCTCCTGGATCCCCCAACAGTGCAGGTGGGCTGTGGGGTACCCCATTTTCTGTTCAGACTGAGCTGCCCCAAAGTTGGCTCCTGGCCCTTAACATGAACTTGTTGCATCAACTCAAAGTGATGGGCAGCAAGAAACTCATGATATCCAGCTTCAAGTATACCTCAAGTAATATGAAAAGAAAGTGTATGGATTACTACCTCTCTGATAGAACCTCGTGAAACTGGAAGCCACTTGGGGTATGGCTCCTTCTCATTTGCCGTCAGGACAGCAGAGGAGCCTGGACTGTGTGGTGGGTGTGGCTGTCCAGTGGGTTCCTGCAATCACTGCTGCACACCACATTCTTCGTGTCAGGAACCCTTTGTTCTGTTTTTGTTTTATACCAGTACCATGTAACTGTGTAATCTGTGGAGATGTGTTTTTATTAGTTCCATGAAAGCAATTTTAAAAGAAGGATGGATTTTCTCTGATTTCCCCCTAGATCTATCAAGCAGGATTTTTGTTTGAGTTAATGTGTCAGGACTCTAGATTTACATTGATTTTTCTCACACATGTATGCTTAACAAGTGGAAGTTAAAAATAAATTCTGTGTAAAAGTAAAACAGTCACATGAGCGACTCTGAGTTGCTGGAGAATTAGGTTGCTGCTAATGACTTAAGAAAACCCAACAATTACCTTAAGCCTTGCCCTCTAAAATCAGAGCTCTTTCAAGACATGGTTTTGGCTGCTTCTGTCTCTGCAGGAGGGAGTGAAGACTGAGAACGACCACATCAACCTGAAGGTGGCCGGGCAGGATGGCTCTGTGGTGCAGTTCAAGATCAAGAGGCACACACCGCTGAGCAAACTGATGAAGGCCTACTGTGAGAGACAGGTGCGGCCCACAGAGGCTGGCAGGGACTGTGCCTGTGTCTCCCCAAGTGCCAGATCGGCCCTGGTTCCCAGACATCCTAAGAGCCTGAGTGTCCCACAGCACTAGTGCTTTGCTCTCTAGGGCAATCCCTGTGCTTCCTTCCTTCCTCAGACACAGTAGGTTGTTGCTTATTCTGTAGATTTCTCCCAGGCTGGGTCTTGCTGGCAGCAACTCATCCTTGTGTTCTGGGACATTGACAGAGAGCTTGCTCAGATAACCATGTGGGTTTTCCTCCCAACAAGACAGTGCCCCAGGTAGTGGTGTGTTCTCCATCAGGGCACACTGTCTGTGATGTCCTCTGATGTGAATGGTCACTCAGGCTGAGGCTCAGGTCTTCCCATTCCTCAGGGGCTGCAGAACAGCACCTGCTCGTGCAGCCTGCTTTTCCTTCCTCCTGTAGACATGTTCCCTCAGTCAGTGTGGCTTTCCACTGTGTTCAGGAGAGGCAAGAAGATGCCTGATTCTCTCCTTGATCAACTGGTTTCCAGATGGTGAACTGGCTCTCCAGCACCCTCCCACAGTGCCCATGAGAGCGGCCCTTCCAGGTGTTCCTGTGAGTGTGATGGTAGACTTGGTGCTTGCTGCATCGGTCTACTGTTCCTGTTGATGCTCCTATGGACCCACCTTTGACTGTGGGTGCTCCTCCAAGCTGCCCTTCCGGGCTCTGCTCCCTGGCTGCTGCCTGCAGTGTAGGGGTACCCCGGCTCCCTACCGGCTTCTTACCCCTCCTGCAGTCAGTTGCCTTTCTCCAGGCATATCATTCCTTTGAGTGGGAGCTGGCATTTCAAGATGCATCGTGGGAGGCTGCCTTTCTTTCCCACGTTGTTGCCCAGGCTGGAGTGCAGTGTCATACTCATGGCTACTGTAGTCTGGACCTGCTGGGCTCAGGCGATCCTTCTGCCTCAACCTGGGACTACAAGTGTGTGCTACCTTGCCCAGATGATTTTTTGATTTATTGTAGAGATGAGATCTCGCCAAGTTGTCCAGGCTGGTCTTGAACTCCTGGGCTCGGGCAATCCTCTCTCTCCTCCACTTCCCAAAGTGCTAGGATTACAGGCATGAGCTACCACATCCAGCCAGTTGCCTTTTTATTTTACTCTCTTGCCTTAGGATTTTTGAAGTCATAAACAGTTTTACAAAGTTGTTGCATTTCCTCCTTTCCGCTCTGGCTTTTTAAGCCCTACTCTGCCAGGCAGTCACTGACTTGTTTTCTTGTCCTTTACTGTCACAGCACACTCCTACTCCTCTTCCTCATGTTTTTATGGCAGCTCTTGTTTTCACCTTTGAAAGGTGAGCTGGTGCTTTCTGACACTGTTGTCCCCCAGCCCTCTAGTCCTCCCAGCAGAGCAGGCTGGGCTGTCCTTGCGCCAAGTCTCCGCTCTGGGTTGGTCCCAGTCTGTTGTATGAATTTGATGCTTGGGTGACTTCCTGGATGTCCCCTGAGCCCCCACACTACTGCAGATTACCTCCCTTTAGGTGAGTGAGTATCTACACGACTTGGGGTTCTGCTCTGCCCAGTGCCCTCCTGTCTACCCTTCCTGCCCCTGGGCTGGCTGCTTCCTGAAGCCTTGGTCAGAATCCTTTGGACACATCCTCTACTTCCTTCCTGTGTCTCTCTGGATTCATCTTTGCCACCCTTTTTCTGGGACATATCCTCTAGTGTCTTGTTAGAAAGGGCATGTGAGATGCAGTGGCAATGAGAACCATGTGACTGAAAAGGACTTTTGCTTTTTCTAAACCTTCACACTTTAATACTTGGCTGCATGGAATGTTTTAGGTGGAAACCCATTTTCATTTTGCTTTCAGTGTTAAAAGCAAGAGGTTCAGTGGCTTTCTGATTCTCTGCCCTTTGTATGTAATTGGGTCTTTTCTTTGGGACCATGTCTGGTGTTTCACAACCGTGGGTCCAAAGGAAGCTCATCTTATCACTCATTTTACTGGGACTTTCTGGCCCTTTTGGTCTCGAAGTTTATTTTTATTCGGGAAATAAGCCTTGCAGCAGCTCTTTGATAATTTGTATCCTTCTCTAGATGCTGCTCCCTCTGTGAAACTCCTGCTCCACCTCGAGCTAACTGTCCTAGATGCCTTAGATCTGCTTTTCCTCCAGTTTTGCATTGGTTTTATTGTTGCTGTTGATCTTCTTTCTGGGAGGTTGGCATGACCTTGTCTTTCCACTTTATCTGGACACTCTTAGTTTTGTCATGGTTTTTAATTTTTCCAGAAGTTCTTTTTTCTTTCTGTTCTTTGAGTGTTTTTTCTTCAGCACCTTGTCTCTTTCTGGATATGCTATTATTTTTTGCCTCTCAAAGAATTTGAATCATGTGTTACGTGGGTGTGTGTATGTGGTTTGTGTATGTGTGTGGTGTGTACATAAGTGTGAATGCTATGTGTATGTATGAGTGTGGAGTGCATGTGTGTACATGTGTATGAGTACATATATGTATGAGTACATATGTGTATGAGTGTGCATTTGTGTGCATTGTGCATGTGTATGAGTGTGCATGTGTGAATGTGTGTGGTGTGTGCATGTGTGTATGAGTGTGTGCGTGTATGAATATATGAGTGTGTGAATGTGTGTATGAGTATGTGTGTGGTGTGTGTGGGTGTGTGGGTACGTGTGTTGTGAGCACTCTCCTGCCTCTGTCCCTCCCCTTTGCTGCTCTTCCTCCCACATCTGAATCCTCCCTGACCACGCATTCACCCTGGCTGCCTGCTTATATGCAAGCATAAAGCACTGAGGAGCTAGTGAGAAGTTGTGTATGAGGGTGGGCATGTTGGCAGGGTGCGACCTACCCGGCTGGGGTTCTGGAGAGGAGCCCAGATGCTGCAATCTGATACTGGTGTGGTGGATGTGTCCTGGGGGTACATCTGGGGAGGGGCTTGGTGGCAGCATTGGGGGGCCCTGGCTTTCACTGGCCTGCTTGTAGCTGGTAACTCATCCCTGGTGTCCTAAGTCCACAACTCTGCATCCCCATCTCCAGAAAGGAGACTTCCTGTGTGCTGCCTGTGGGAGGGAGAGTTGTCTGGCCTCTCAGGCTGGGGCGGGGGGTATCTGGATATGACTTTCAAGCAGTCATTCAGAATCAGCTGTGTGCTACATCTCTGCCTCACAGGCCAAGGTGCCCCAGTCCCTCAACCTTGAGACCCCAGGCCCAGTGTCTGTCAGTCTACCAGCATCCAGCCCATGGTGGCAGCCTCTGTCTACTGGCCCATCCCTCTCCCATTCCCTTTGTCCTTGCTGTTGGTGCCTTTTCTGCTTCTTTATGCCATTTCAGTGGGGTTTCAGGAGGGAGCAGAGATGCACATTTAGCCATTTAACCCTGTCTGTCCTGTCAGTGCAGTGAGAAGTGATTGTTAGATGACATGTTTCTGCCCCTGACATGTTGACCTGTTCCTCTAATGATGCAGAACAGCTCCATACTCTCCTTTTTGGGTGGAAAATGCCCCTCCTTCTTGCTGCCCTCCTCAAGCCACTGTTCTCTAGCCTTATACAGTTGTTATCCTGTCCCTCACTGGCACCCAATGTGTTTGTTCCTGAGAACTTTCTAAAGAGAGAGATGGTGGTGCCAGCATAGGGGTTCTGCCCAGCTTCTGGAAGGAAATGAGAGGGTGGGCAGGTCAGGATACCAGAACGAGAAGATTGTGGAAAAGTGCTGTCTGAAAGTGCTAGTGTTGGGGCAGCATGTGAATGAGACTGTGGCCTGCTGGTGAGTAAAAATTCAATTAGGTCACAAGCCTGAATATTCAGAATGTTGATATTTTGCTATAAATATTTGATTTTTTGAATTAACTGTGCTATTTGGAAGTATTTAATGGCAATTGCTTTTCCTTTTCAGGGCTTGTCAATGAGACAGATTAGATTCAGGTTTGATGGGCAGCCGATTAACGAAACAGATACTCCAGCACAGGTATGGATGCAACTTCTTGTGTCCAAGGACTCCTTCCGACTTACATCACACCATTGCCATTTGCAGTACTCTAATTTGGGAATCACTAACTGGTGCTCTGACAACGCCTTAGTTTTATTTAATGATTTTAATTATTAGATTAATTTTAAAATTAAATTTTCTTTTTCTTTCTTTTTTTTTTTTTTGAGTTGGAGTCTCACTCTGTCGCCCAGACTGGAGTGCAGTGGCTGCTCCCGGCCACCGCAGACTCGCCTGCTGGACTCCGGTAATCCTTCCGCCTCAGCCTTCCGAGTAGCTGGAATTACAGGCATGCGCTATCACGCCCGGCTGATTTTTTGATTTATTGTAGAGATGAGGTCTCACTGCCCAGGCGGGTCTCGAACCCGCGGGCTCAGGCAATCCACTCACCTCAGCCTCCCAAAGGCGCGGGATTACAGAGCCCGGCAAAATTAAATTTTCAAATGAGAAAATAACTTTGTCAAACATCACCCTTGCTGGAGATGGAACCCAAGTGCTGGGCCTGAGCTCACCATGGGGACTGGGTAGATACAAGGACCACCCGCAGCTCCTGCCCACGTGTTGTCTGGACACTTAATTTGCAATTGTAGTTAGCTGTAGCTAAATGACTGGCTCAATTCTTGTGCCCTTTAAGCATTTTGCCCAAGTGACATGGGTGGAAAGCATGTACCATTGCATCTGATCATCAGTCAATGCAGCTGTTTCTTTTAGGCGTGTGCCCACCACACACAGGTTTGGGGTTATGATGCTGTATGTGGTGCTGTCCTGGACAGAGCTTTAGACTTGGAGATGGAAGTTCTGTTAACTTAGTTCAGGTTACAGCTCGTTGTTTGTTAACTGATGACCCTGTAACTGAGGGTCACTTAGTTTCTTGGAGTCTCCATTTTGTCTTTAAAATGGAGATAATGCTTGTTTTTTTTCCCCCTTCAAAGGTTGTAAGAATCCATCAGAATGTTTTATGTGAACATATTTTTACAAAATGTTTACTATTTAGGCGGGGTGCAGTGGCTCATGCCTGTAATTCCAGCACTTTGGGAGGCCAATGCAGGAGGAGCACTTGGGGCCAGGAGTTTGAGGCTCATTGATCTAAGATCATGCCACTACACTCTACTCTGGGCAACAGAGAGAGACTCTGTCTCTAAAATAAGTAAATAATATTCTATATTTAGTACATATTGAAACATCTGTAGCTACTTTAGGAAATCATAGTCCACTGAGACAGAGCATCAGCTCTGTGAAGGTTTACCAGGAAAAGAGGCTGCCAGGAGCTGGCAAGTGGGGAAGGCCTTGTGGAGTGGATGGGGCTTGACTGGGAGTCAGAGGCAGGATGTGGGCAGAGGGCCAAAAAGAGCATTGCCTGGAGGCTGTCTCTCCAGCCTAGCATCAGTAGGTGAGGGCAGCTGAGACCTGGGTGAGACTGCTCCCAGTCATGGTTAGTTTTGGTAGGAGTTGGCAAAAGCTGCCTTTTGCTCAGAGGATGGAAAAAGATCAGGGTAGGTGGTTTGGTGCCTACCATGTAAGGAGAAGAGAAGCAAGCAGGGAATGTTTGCCCCATCTGTGCCCTGGTCGTCTTCTACCACAGAAAGAAGCCAGTGGTGGACCCCTCATATGGGCCCTTCTTTTGTGGTCTAGTAGACTTTGAGTTTTACAGGCTTGACCCACTGTACTTTTTATAACATGAACGGCTCTCTCAGTTCCTTAGGTCTCAATGCTGCTAATTGGATGTTCTGAATTCAAATCTGATATTGTGTAATTTTCAGTAAGCATTTTAGGCATCTCAGTTTACTTGTTGGACTCAGTTTTCTGTCAGTTAACATTTTAGCTTTGAATATTCTTTTGTAAGTTCTGTTGGGAAAACTTGGTGAATCATCAGGGCTTTGTGTAAGTGCAAATGACACCTCTTCCCTGCATGTTGTGCACAAGGGGACAGATGAGAGCAAAGTTGCTAGTGTCAGGGAACATGTGTGCCAATTAGCATTTTCCCTCCTTCTGAAGAGGAGAAAAACTAACAAGCTTCTCTCTCTCTCTCTCTTGTGCCTGTCGTGACAACTATGACAGCTGGAGATGGAGGATGAGGACACTATTGACGTGTTTCAGCAGCAGACAGGAGGCGCACAGGAGACCAGCCTGGCAGGGTGTGGCCTCTAGAGCCTGTCCCCAGCCCGTGCCATCCGTCCTTGCATTGCTGTTGAATAGTGAGCACATGACCATGCCATCAACAAAGGAGTCTGCGGACACTTGAGGACATTCACCAAAATAATTTCCTCTTTGACGTACTTCGAGTGCAACTCAAACTATGTGCAGGGATGAATCTACAACTTAAATTGGGCCAATAAGAATTGTTATCTTTGTTCAGGTAAAATGAGTTGCGAGGTTTTTTGGGTTTGTTTTCATTTTTGTTTTCCCACCTCCTATAACATTTTTTACCCCAAACTTGTGGCCTGAATGTTTGCTTTTAGTCTGTGGACAGGGATCTTCCTCCCAGTGTTGACTGTCCCCCCTCTGCTTACTCCAGTCCTATAGAGAACTTGCCTTCCCCGCCTGGGGCTTTGTATGTTGGATAGGTGTTGGGGACATGATGGAGATGGAAGGCAGAACGTCAGTTGCTATTTGTTGTAGGCACAGGTTATTAAAATGCTAAGTATTGCAAATGTAAGCTTCGCTAGCATGGTAAAGTTGAAGGGAAAATACTAGAATGCTTACAAGGTATAGACTAACTGAGCCCTTTGGTAATATGGCCCAAGTGCTCTGTGGTCCTTGAGTTTGTGTCCATCGGGGGCTGAAGCCCAGGACTCCCCCACTGTTCCCTGCTCAATACCTGGCATTGGTATAGGGGCAAGGAATGGCACTTCCAAAATTGGATTTTTTTTTTCTAAACATAGAAGAAAGTAAGTACCATATTTCTTAATTGGTAATGGTGTTGTGGCCTCAGATTTCTTCTATTTGCTTTTGAGAATAATTATGGTCTATACATAAAAAGTAAGATTAAGTATTATAAATTTGCAGTTGCGTTGTTGTGTAAAAGAGCTACTTCACAGTGTGGTTACAAATGAACCCACAGAAAGATGACTTCATGCTCTTCTTGGGGTTTGTGCTGTGCTGCTTCCAAATATGTATCGAATCTACACATTCGTATGGTGATTTCAGTTCTGTGAAATATTCTGGGATCTATACCAATTAAAGATTTTCGTAGTTCTGCCTGTTGTCCTTCCATAAGGATCCACTGCTGCTTGATGGCCATTCTCTGCCTTTTTTATAGTTGCCCGAACGCTGACCCATCCTCTCTTGCTTGCTTGAAATCTTGCTGAAAATGTTCTTGTTTCCTTTGTTTTGCTGTATGGGCTCGGGTGGGGTGTTTGCTGGCTCTGTTGTGATTATTCACCAATTTGTACATTATTTGTTGTCCTTTACTACTGTAAACAGTAAATATAGTTTGGTATTCTGTCTCTTGGCTTATACTTAACACTGCATTTGAAAGTTGGGGTGTGTGGTCCCAATTCAGTATTTGTCTGAACCATTCAGTGAGGCCACTAAGAAGCTTTGATTTAAGAACTAGTTGCTAGCAGGTTAATGTTCCTCTGACAGCTCACTTCTCCTCCTGGCAGATTGTCAATGCTGGCCGGTGTTTTTCCTGCTGAGGGGGCATCCTCTCACAGAGTCCTCCTAGCTGACACTGATCTGAACCGGCACTATGATGACACTTGGCTTTTCCTCTCCTGGTTTCCATGTGTAAAGAGAGGATGGACTTTGGAGGCATATGAGTCTGGATGTTAGTCTGGGGCATTTCAGTTGTTTTAGTGTTTGAAGTAAGCCTGTTTTCCTTCTTGCAGTTGACAGCCTACTCACTTATCTGCTTTAAAACAGAACTGAACTGACACTAATTTGACTTTAGGAATTTCCCAGTATACTAAGGTGTGACAAAACCAGGGTTGAAAATGATGTTGAGTGAGCACAAGTTGCAGAAAGATAGAGGGCAACATTGGAAACAAAGCACTCGATGCCCTTGCACCAGCCAGAGTATATGGATTAAGGCTCAGTACAGAGAGCCTGGGGGAAGGGGCTGTCAGAGTCCAGCAGTCAGCCCCTGAACCTGTGTGAGGAGATGGGTACATCCCAGGTGCTTTCTGTTAAATAGAAGAATGACCAAGAAGTGTTTCCGGATGCGTTAAACAGTGCTGCTTGAACTTCCACCCACAACACCTAACAATAGAAGAAAGAGCAGGATGTTCTTGTAAATTCACTTAAATTTTTTTTTTATACACGAGGTCTTGCTGTGTTGCCCAGGCTGGTCTCGAACTCCTGGACTCAAACAATTTACCTCAGCATCCCCAGTTGCTGGGATTACAGGTTCAAGCCACTGCACCTGGCAAGGCTGTTTTTGAGGTGGTCTTTTATCTTAGAAATTTATGCAAATTATGCATTTGGAATATTAGATCTGTTGGTATTACTACTTTCAAAAGTATATAATTACATGACTCTAACTTCCAGAATAAAGACTAAATTGATGCTTCAGGAGATATGCCCTAATATCCTATCACCTGTACCTATGGTCCCAGCTTGAACTTTTCCAGTTTTTACACTGAAAGATTCACATCCTAGGAACCCTGGGTCTGAGGCAAACCAGGGCTGTCACCTTAGCTGTGCTAGGAGAGTATCCAGATAGAGAAACATGATGTTACTACTAAAGCCCTGCCATGGCCGTGTGCAGTGGCTCAAGCCTGTTATCCCAGCACTTTGGGAGGCCTATGTGAGAGGATTGCCTGAGACCAGGGGTTCGAGACCAGCCTGGGCAACTTGGCAAGATCTCGTCTCTACAATAAATAAAAAATTAGCCTGGCGTGGTGATGCATGCCTGTAGTTCCAGCTACTTGGAAGACTGAGGTGGAAGGATCACCTGAGCCCAGCATGTCGAGGCTGCAGTGGCTATGAACGTGCAACTGCATTCCAGCCTGGGCAACACAGTGAGACTCCAACTCAAAAAAAAAAAAAGAAGAAGAAAAAGGTCAGGGTCAGGTGCAGTGGCTCAAACCTGTAATCCCAGCACTTTGTGTGACTGAGGTGAGAGAATTGCCTGAGCTCAGGGATTCGAGACCAGCCTGGGCAACTTGGTGAGACCTCATCTCTACGATAATAAAAAAAAAATAAGCCAGGCATGGTAGCACATGCCTATAGTTTTAGCCACTTGGAAGACTGAGATGGAAGAATCGCCTGAGCCCAGCAGGTCAAGGCTATGGTGGCTGTGAGCGTGCTACTGCATTCCAGTCTGGACGAAAGAGTGAGACTCCAACTGGAAAAAAAAAAGAGGCCTGTCATGGACCAGGGGCTCATGGACCAGGGACTCAGGTGGGAGATCCTTTGTATGCTTCAGAGCTTTAGTTGCCAAAGATATGATACTCATTCTACACGACTGGTTTCCCCAGGGCGTGCTGCCATGAACTATTACACACCTGCTGCTCAGACCCTTGGGACTCCAGTACCAACTGACTCAAATTGAATGTTGCCAGATTTAGCAAATAAAAGTTACAGATACAAGATGTTCGGTTAAACTTAATTCCAGACAAATAACTGAATGACTATGAGAAGGAGGAGCTGTTGCAGAGATCGATCCTGGTTCTCGAAGATAAGGCCATTGTGCCAGCCATGGTGAGGTGAGAGAAAAACCTCCAACCTGCTTAAGCAGTTCGTATGTTGGATTGTCACTTGAAGCTGAAACTAATCCTGATACAAGCTGTAAACCACATTAAAAAAAATTGAAGAACACACAGTGCTCTACAGTGAGTAAAATGATGATGTCTGGAAAAGATTGATGCAGTGAAGGAAACATCAAGACTTGGGCAAGCTCAGTGATGCTGAGCATTTGTGTTGACAGTCACACTTTATCACCCGTTTCCCACAAGTAACAAAGGGGAGCTGTCCTTTTGCTTTGGGTGGGCTGGTTTGGGGAGTGGGATGCAGATCACAAAGAGGGCAGCTCGCTGGAATGGGGAAGGAAACTATGAGTATTTTGCACAAAGGGCCATTTCATTTTTATAATCACTGTGGTCACTGGAAAAGATAGGAGGTGAACTGAAATTTTAAAATATATTTTAGGAAACTTTCCTACAATATGTTTACCTATGAGGTTTGTTTGCATTGTTAAATTCCATCGTATTCACAGATACATATTGAGAGCAGTCCTTGTCCAGGTGCTGAGACTGCTCCAAGACCAAGTTGGAATCAGGCCCCTGGCTCTCAGGGAACACATTTTCTGGGTAGAGGAGACAAATGGAAAAGTACACCAACTGTGGAGAGGCCGGGAGACCACAGGGGAGCTGGGGAAGATGGTCGTTCCCAGCATCTCCAGGGGTGCCCTGGTCAAGGCTGCTGGTCGAGCTGGCAGTCAGGAGGAGGGCTGGGCCCCCATGGGTTTCTCCCCCTCACTCAACTTAGAAAAGGTTCTGGAAACCGAACTCCAGCTGAGCCCACTGACGTGCCCTATCATCACACTTCTCTTTTTCTTTTTCCTGAATCCATACTCTTTTATTTATTTATTATAAAGATGTGGAGTACAATTCAGGATTAGGTATATAAACACAGATGTAGGTACCCTTGTTGGTGAGGTATGCCC